GAGGCGAGCACGGCTTTCCACAACTCGAGTCAAATATCCTTCTTCTCTCCCTACAGCGGTAACATTTAAAACTGGGACTGTCAACAAACAGGAATAACCTTCCTTATCACCAGCTTGAAGAGTGTTTACGTCAGGTCGCCACTCAGTTTTTTATTCGTTTTTTGTGTGTTTTTGCAGCTAAAAATGAGGTGTTAAACGTACTGCCTTTCAGTTTTTTATGCTTTAGCCTTATTGACCCATGTATTAATTTCTCCTTCTCTACTTATCACCAGCTTGAAGAGTGTTTACGTCAGGTCGCCACTCAGTTTTTTGTGTGTTTTTGCAGCTCAAAATGAGCTGTTAGACGTTCTGCCTTTTAGTTTTTTATGCTTTAGCCTTATTGACCCATGTGTTAAGTTCTCCTTTTCCACTTATCACCATGTTTACCTGTTTGAGTGGCTTTGAAAAAGCCAATAGTGAAAATCTACCCGAAGTTGAGAGCTTCACTTTGGCTGAATTTTTGAAGAAAGTCGACGTCAGCACCAAAACCTTCAGGTAAGTTGAATTTCAATGATGAATAATCATTGTATTTCTATCAGTCAATTTCTGACCTCTACTCTTGAATTGAATCATTTACGAAGTACCTAAACAGCAAGACCGTAGAATCAACAAACAGGAGTAACCTTATCATCAGTTCAGCTCCTGAGAGATAGTTTAGCTTTGTTAATTCAAAGTAATAGTTCAAGGAGACAAGTGAAAAACACTCACCTACCTTTGTCAGAACATGATGGGCATACCTTGTTCAGGTAGTTCAGCGCAAAGCATCCTATTTCTGTGGGTATTATTTACTGTTTTTCGTTCGCATTCTCATGGATTAGCGTATGAAATCATTTAAATTTAATCGTGTAAAAGTTAAAGTATTATACACTGATGGATCTGGAATGCGAATGCAGTTACTAGATATGGTTGAATTTTTATGCTTATCAATCAGCTCAAAATTTGGAAATCTTTGTCTAAAGATTCCTGAGTAATTAGGTACTGCCTATTCTGCTTTGTAAGACAGAAACTTCTTATACTGCCCATCAGAATAAACTGATAAGAATTCTTTGCGGATTTTTATTGAACTACCAGACTAGCAAAGTGTTAATGTATAATGTATACACTCATACACAGAAACATTGATTTGATCATAGCTCATTTAGGACTGAGAACTGAACAGGAACAGATAATTCATCCAGAAATCACTGTTATGTACTGATCTCATGCTTGTTTACTTACCTATGAATCCTATGATTTTGTAATATTTCAGATCAATGCGACCCACCTACTCAGATAACGCGATTGGCTATGTGCAGCTGAAGCGGGAGGGCACGCTTTGTCATGTCATTGCTCGGATAACGCCGGAGCATAAAATCCAAAAAGGGGCTTATAAAGTTCATTGTGAGGTTGATGAAGGTCCAAAGTATGCAACTATCAAGGCAGCTTACTGTGAGGACTGCGCAGCTTCTCAAGGTAAAAATAATAACTTGCTCATCAAAAATGGAGGAAGTAACCTTATTACATTTCAGATCTTGGAAGTGATGTAAAAGTCAAAGGTGATTCATGTGTGTAATTTAATTGCTGAGAAAGGAAAGATCTCTGATGAACATGAAATGATAATTGAGCTATGATAACCATAAATTGATAAGCACTACACGGCACTGTTGCAAAAATTGTGGAACTTGATAGGTATATTCTTATTGTGGCCAAATAATAACTGGTTCAGTTTCTAATTTTTCAGAAAAAAGTCTTAGAGCAATCCTGAATTTCTCCCAAAAAAGTTTGCAACGGTACACAAATGCATTTGGTTTGCTGCTATGGGAGAGACATTTATTTTCCTCTGACACTAGAGTAATTTTAAAAAAAGACAGACATTGATTTACTCAAAATCTAATTTTGAACATAAATAATTTGTTGATTTTTAATTTTTTTAAAGGAGGAAATTGCAAACATGCAATAGCATTTGTAACTTGGTTACATCGGAGGAGCGAGGAGCCGTCGGTAACCGAAACAAAGTGTTATTGGAAGAAATCGAGGCTTTCCAAAGATGGGGCAAGTTGTATGACAACAATGGAGATCGTAAGAGAGAGTGAAAAATTGAAGAGAAGAAAACAAGCGGCAAAACAGCAGATTCCAATCACACCTGCAGACAGAGAAACCTTCTTTGAAGAACTTGCCTCCGAGTTTAAAGATAAAAGTGGTAATTATGTTTTTACTTTTGGTGTACTTCATTAACTCTGTGGTGTATCAACACTGTGTTTCTAGATTTTAAAAGAGATGAAAAAGAAAATAACTGTAACTTCTCGTTGAATATTTAGCTCGACGTAGAAGGTCGTTTTTAGAAAATATTAGTTTTGAGCGAAACTCATCTGAAGCGCTCAGAAAGTAACTTTCCACATTTTGCCCTTTGATAAGACATATGAGCACCAGAGCAGTGTAAATACGTGACATTGTGTGTCCAAAGAGGCAATGATGCTGTACGATTGATTTCCAAAACAAGACTAATTTTCCAATGCGCTCTTCTTCCGACAATCTTTAATCAAGGAGATGACGAATTTTCTCTTAACTACTTTTAAATGTTCAGTATTTCTCTGAGAGTAATTGAATCCAACTCAAAATGAACGCTTGCTATCATTATTAAACTTAGATGGAGACTGCAAAGGTGAAACTGCAGGAATGCGAATTTCGGTTTCAGGGGCAAACTTTCCATTAGTTTCTTATTTCCAAACGTATAAATTTTCAGCTTCATTTCTTGAAAAATTCCTTCGATTTCCCTCTTCATGTGAAAAATATTGTGTGAAAATTACAAGCATTAGCTTTGATTTGCTCTCCTTTGATAAAATAAAATGGGGGCAGAGATTTTGAAACACTGCAAACATGATATGCATTCCTGCAGTTTCACCATCAATTTAATACTGAAAAAGGAGCCAAGTATTCACCATTCAATAGTAATTTTTATTTTATTTGCAACATCAGAAGGAAAAAAAGAACAGGTATCGATTGAGCGATACTTATTTTATTTTGCATTTAAACAAATTTTATGATTTAATAGTGTCTGCTCTTTCTTGTATATTCCTGTTAAGCCACTTAGTTCGGCACCAAACAAATTCATAAAAATACTTGTTCAGTTTCACCTTGAATGAAATTGAACTTAAACTCTCATTGTTGAAATAATTGTGTATTTTTCATTAGTACTCTAGACAGCAGAAAGAGAATATTAAAGAATATAATACACAAATTTATAATACACAAATATGATATACAAATATAATATGAAATAATTCACAGATCAAAATGGTTAATGAAGACCACACTTTTTTTTGGAAGAGAAGGCATTCACTAAGTTATTCTTTTTTTTCCAGACAACATGCTATTTGCTGCAATGCTTAGTAGACAGAAGTCATATGCGACTCATCATTTACTTCTGGATTTCAAAGAAACGAATTTACCCCAAGATGCAGACTCTTATCTCCGGTACTGCTCATCAGTTATGACTGACGAAGGGTGCCGCATTCTAGCAGAGGCCACAGATAATCAAGCTAAGTGTTATTTGTGGTTCGATTCAAGATATGGTCGTGTGACAGGTTCTAAGGTTCATGAGGCGTCGAGATGTAATACCCCTGATGGTTCCCTCAGCAACTCCATTCTTGGTGCTCACAAAGCCTTTGACACAGAAGCGATGGAGAGAGGTAGAAGTTTAGAGAAAGCAGTCTTGCAGGAAGTAGAGTCTCGTATCGGAGAAAAAATAGAGAAAACAGGCTTTGTGATGCGCAAAGAATTTCCTGCCTTCGGAGCTTCCCCTGACGGAATCCTTAGGAAGCACATTGTTGAGGTAAAGTGTCCCTCAAGTGAGCACACTGTGAGTGCTTATCTGGACCAAAATTTAGAACCAACCAAAAAATATAAATCACAAATGATGCTACAAATGATGATGTGTAAAAAATCAAGGGGCTACTTTTGTGTGGCATCTCCTGACTTCGAGACATCCAAAAAAGTTACCATCGTAGAGGTAAAATTCGATAAGGAATACACTCGCAAAATTGTGGGTGAAGCGTTACAATTTTGGAAAAAATACATTTTCCCCATCTTGTACCAAAGTTGTTAAAGTTGATCATTACCTGTCATTTGACTCATCAATATTTTTGTCACATAATATTGTTTGGTTGGTTCTAAATTTTGGTCCATATTTTTTGTCAGAACGGCATGCGATATATCGCATCAATGGAGATGTTGCATGTGTGAGGAATTTGCGATTTGACCATTGATTCTTATGTAAAA